AACCTTTTTTCAAAACATAACAAATTAGGATTAAGGTTTTTTCTTAGTTAGTAATTGTTTTTTGACATATTTTTTAATTAGTTAGCATTTTATTAATATTAAAATTAATTAGAATTTAGGTTTTATTACTATTATCACTTAAATTATTTTCTTAAAAAAAACACCAAACACTAAAACATTTTTCTAACATCTTTTTCTTATTTCTTATTGCTATTTAATTTTCTTAGACAAATTGTATAGGTCGCAACTATCGATGTAATAGCGTAGATTTATTTTCTCGCATCTTTTCCTATTATGTAACTGCTCACAGGATGTAATAGCTTAGGTTCAATTTTCCGCACTTTACATTCCGCACTTTAATCTTATGTATATATCTAACTGTTAGTAGTTAGGGTTTGCATGGAAAGACTAACAATTGGACCTAGAAAACCCTAATTCAAGATAAGATAACTGAGTTAACACACTCTTCACACTTGCATATTTAGAGTAACCTCTCTTATTGCCTTACGATACAACTGGCCATGTCCCTCGAAAGTGGGGATACTTTAGTAAAAGACCCTCGATTTAACAATATCATCATGGTCCCTTTCGAATAAAGATTATAATCCCTCGATGACCCTTTGAGTTGCCTACAAAATAATCTAGTCCCTCGATGACCCTTTGAGTTGCCTACAAAATAATCTAGTCCCTCGATGACCCTACGAGCAAAATGATGATAGTCCCTTCGATACAATTGCTAAATTATCTTTACATGTTGTCTTTGATGATCATACGATGACCTTACGCTTGTCCCTTCACATCCAATAGATAAGATTACCTACCAACTAATGGTATGGATAATACTATCTCCAAAGGAGAAGGAAAATAACAAAAAAGACTTTAGTGGGTAAGAACTCTTGAATGCTTGCTCACAACCTTTTTCACAAACAAATACATTTTACACATCACTTTCAAAATAAATATTTTCAAAAAACACTTTGTATACATTCTTGAGGACTGACACAAGAATTATTACAAAGTTAGCCTTACATTGGCATTTCAAAATATTTTCAAACAAATCACACACACAAAGCAAGATTTTTAAAGTGAGATAAGAAATTAAGAGCCCGTAGATAACTACGGATGAAAAGGATGCTAACACCTTCCTTTTTCATAACTTACCCCCCCCCCCCCCCCCCAAACTCAAAATCTATCAAAGGCCTTTCCAGTTCTTTTCACCTTTCCTAAATATTGGATAAAAGAAAAGTCGGTGGCGACTCTAGCTATCCTCACATTTGGATAAAACCAAAAAAGTCAGTTCTTCCACCGTATTGCAACACCTTATCGAAACAAAATCCACTTCATTTTATGGACTGCTTGATGGGTGCCCCAAAATCCACTATGGACATTGAAAATTTCCATGTAAGCCTCACTTTCACTAAGACATTTGAGAAAAACTCCTTCGAGAATCTTCTTAAACAACTCATTGCCAATGATCACATAGTTTAATGCCTTATATTTGATCTTTCAATATGTTATCCCTATCGGCTTTTCCAAAAATTCTATAATTGCTTTTCACCAATCATTGTTGGACAAATTGTCAATGGCCGAAATTTTTAAAAATTTAGGATTTTGCAAGTCTTCCAACCCTTCTACCCCCACCAATTTTGACATTTGCGATTTTAAGGGGAAAACACTGGATGAAATCAACTTTTCTTTGATTTTGATTATTTCTTATAATTTCTCTTTGGATACTTTATATCCTGAAGCAATCTGAGCTAAGTCATTGGCTTCTTGATTCTCCAATCAAGGCACATGTTTGATGTCAACTGAATTGAATCTCTTTAAGAGTAAGTTGGTTGTGATGAAGTGCATAAACAAATTCTCTTTGATGCACTTATATTCTTTCGTCAACTGTTTCATAACCAATTCCAAGTAACCTTTAATTTCGATTATTTTTGCCCCCAAGTCTGACAATATCTTAAGGTCTGCTATTAAGGCTTCATATTCAACCTCATTATTCGACCAACATCCTTAGATTTTGAATTTAAACTTGGTTAGGATTCCTTTGGAGGAAATAACTAGAATTCCAGCGTCAGTTCCATTTTTATGTCGGGAACCGTCGAACTACAACCTCTAAGGTTTAAGCTCCACATAATATTGTAGTGTTTCGACTATCGCATGATCTAAAATAAAATCAGCAACAACTAACCTTTCATAGCCTTTTGTCGCTATGCAAAAATAACACAGAGTCGCCATCAAACTTTATTTATCCCAAAGAGAAAGTAAAACATCGAGAAAACCCCAAAAAGAAGGATAAAATGGTCTTTCGACCAAGAAAAGGGTATACAAGTCGGTTATGTAAGGGGAAGATATTAGCCCCTCTCATATTCGTTGTACTTAATGGGATACTTCGATTGTTTGTTTCTAAGGTTGTGTTATCTAGAGCTTACTTGCTAAAAATGCATGAGTTGATTTAGGGGGAAAATAAAAGGTTTTTATTATTAAGGGAAAAAATAAAAGGTTTTTATTATTTAGTTCGCCCAGATTTTGCAATTCAAAGGGAATCAGAACTTCGTAGTTCTTCTAAAAAATATTGGTTTGTTGGTTGTTTTTAGTGGACGATGTTATCTTCGTGTTCTCACAGTTAGGTGTTGTTGCTCGTTGTGTGGAGACTCACATGTTACTTGTTTGCGGTTGAAAGGAAATAACATGCCCTTTCTGAAAAAGTTTTAAAGGGGAAAAGCTCAAAGGCAAACTGATATTTGATTTGTTGGAGTGTTTTGTTGGAGATGGTCGTAAATGATTCCCAAAACATGGGCACTTATCTATTTCTCCACCTTTAGTTTTAAAAAGATTAATGAACTGAATCGCACTGAAGTCTACAAATGAAAAAAAACAAGGTTAGGAATACATTGCCTCATACTTTTTCATTACTTAAGGCTCAATATCGTACGATTTGCCTCATAGTTATTAAGTGTTTTTGAGTTTTGATTAAGAAAAAAAATTTTGTCTTTTAAAAGAAAATAAAAATGCAATGCAAAAGGAAAAGGCAAAAAGAAAAGGGATCTCAAAACGCTAATGTTTTCATGCATCAATGCTCCTAAGATTGGGATTAAAGGGAAACCCTAATTAATGTTTTTATGCTTGTATTGGAATTCCTAATGCCTATCTTGATTCAATGTTAATCAAAGATTAAATTGAATTAAAAAATCCTAAGAAAGCATGTGAACACAAAGCAAGAAACTAAACAACAACATCAAGCACAAACAAAGGAATGATCAAGCGTCGAGCAAAAACAAATCATCAAGAGAAGTCATCAAGCACATAATCAAATAAATGTCTCAAAATATCAAACACAAGAATCAATACAAACATATAAACATTACACATCAAATACATGCATCATTATCATCACAATTTATCAAGAGAATCACAACAATCATCAAGGCAAAGCAACAAAGTCACGGCATCATGAACATCATCAAAGTTCAACAAGAGATAGCACACAATTAATAAGGAAAATCATCAAGGACCTAGCATCATTTTGATCAAACATCAACACAAAATAACATCAAGATATCAAAATAAAATAACAAAATTAAAGTCTTAATATTAAAAAAAACGTGCATCTGTAATATTTTTGTCAAATATTTTAATTAAAATTTTCAGACTAATAGCTTGTTAGGTTCAAATCATTTGCTTTACAGATTTATAAATCATTTTAAAAAAAATTAATTCATGTCAGGCTTTTTAAATTAATTTAAAGTTTAATCCCTCAAAATCATATTCGTTAGTTAATTTGGTTTAATCCATTACTGTTTAACTTCAAATATATTAGATAAGACAATACTGATGAGTGTTTATCATAAATTTTATTTTATTTTTTAATATTAACTATTTGATCATTTTAACAAATTTCAACCCTTTAGATTTTGATGGTCTATTAATTCTAAGAATACACCACCAACACTTAATAATTTTTTAGAATCTCATAATGCACCCTATATAATAAATAAAAAAAACCCTTATGAAAATCTAAAAATGTCTTTGTTTCAGAAATACATTTCGGAACACACCCGAATCACATCAAAACACGTTCAAACTAAATCTCACCTCATATTTTTTCAAAAATTTAGTCAAAAAATACATTTCCAAAAATATTCCAGAAGTATACTTCTGTAATTTCAAGAAAGAGATCAAATAGAGTGCTTTTCCTCATTATAATGAATAATTACATACACAAACTGAACCAACATTTTTGAAGTCAACAACATGCATTCGGATGCAAGTGAAAAAATAGAGAAAGACATAACCTTTTAATTATAAATTGCAAAATTGCAAAAATTAAAACAACAGTTACCGTGGCAGGCCAAGCAGGGAACATTGTTTGTCTAAATTTTCTAACATATGAGTGTCAAAGTAGTATCATACATCAATTCAAATAGGATCAAAGCAAAAAAAAAAAAAAAAAACCATTTTTTGGAGGTCATTTATTTGACTTTTCCGACACTTGACCGACTTTTTCGACACTTGTCATACAAGTGACAAACGTCGATGCCGACACGCCTACTCCTAAAGGTGTCCGTGCTTCTTATATAGTATTACTACGGTTTGATTCAAAACTCAAAATCACTTTACTTTGATCCAAATGCACTTTCATTGACAAGTTTCACTCTTGAATCAAATAAATTTCAGTTTTGAACTTCAAATTTATCATAATGTTAATGAAAATAGTTAGGTTAAAAATGTAGTATAAATTTCTATAAGAAATTTGGACTAATTGCGCAAACAGAACTAGTCTAATGAGGTGCAACAATTAAAATTACAAGAGAACTTATGTAACACATTCCTTTTCATGAAAACTAACCCTACCTGTTATTACCATGTTACAGTCTTGGTCCTGGTCTGAAAAATTTGCCCAGTCTATTTGCATGATATCGCGGGCTTAAACTCAAACTCGGTTAGCAATGGCCCTGTTATTCTACACATGTTACAGGATGAATAAATATGATGTGTTTTCAGGATTCGCCGTTGTTTGGCTGCAAGTTGGGAATGCCCGCGAGACATTCTGACTGTTCTGTATTTGAGTTCAAATTCAATCCTTGTGAGTTTGCTGCTGCCTTCGAGTCTTTCTTGGCCTGCTCCTTGTTCTTGGCTAGCTTGCTTGCTGGGAAATGTAGTCTGGCCTTTAGAGGACGGGGTGCTCGTGTTTGCCTGTCGAATCCTCGCACACAAACAAACCCTGCAAAACAACAGGTTTGTTAGATGTTCAGATTCTTTTCTTGTAGATGATTGTGCATGTTTAACACAAAGGATCGTTCCACCATGCTACCAAAATTTAAATCATAGAAGACAGTATTACATTCTGGGAACTATATCTTACCTCTCCAGAAGCACTGTTGAATTTCTTGTGTTGATAAACCTGCTTAACAAAAAAGCTCATATTAAACCTAGTTGTTTGAGATATGCTATAATAGTTTTAACTTTTAAGTGTTTACCTACCTTTGAATATAGATGGTATTGAGGTTCCGAAGTGTACTGTTCTCCTATTGAGGTTCCATATCCAACTTCTGGGAACGCTAATTGGGTTAAGACTTGATTCATGGTCTGCGAAAACCTGTTTCAAATGACAGACATTTATTTTTTAACTTGAAAAAGAAACATTGATATATTCAAGGGAAATAAATTTGGTATGAAATTTCACACTGCTTTACCTCATTGACTTGAAAATAGGTGCCGTTTAGCGGAAAGCTCCCTCTCATTGCTGTTCGACATGGTATCTATTCATAATTTATTTCAAGCCAGGGTAAGAATACTCACATTTATATATGAAAATTACTTTCCCTCCCACCCACCCCTCCCTTTAGTTTTCCACCATAATGTATAACAATTAATGAGCATTGCATGGTTAAGCATTCAAACCAGGATTGTCCCTCGAACCATCTGCGAACTTGCTTCACGGAAGCTGTTGCATGAAAAACATTCCTCCTCATTACAGAGCTGGCCACAGCCCTGAGAGCTGCACTTTCTTTCTGGTGGCTGTATGGAATTTGCTGTCTCGCCTGATGTATTTGGCAAATAAATCAGAAAACACTAAAAAAACTAAACTATATTGTAAAACTTCCCAACTTATTATGCCGTATGATATTAACAATAACTTCACAACCAATCTTTACTCAGATCTAGAAAGGGAGTATTGTAGACAAATTATTTCTAACCTACCTGGGGTCCATATTGCTAGAAGGTATTTGCCCGGATCATCAGGTTCCCGCACTTCCCACTGTATTACATAACATATTAGTAAAAGTTTGGCATATAGCATAATGACAACTTTAAGTAATAGATGTAGTGTTTACTAACCCCTTCCAGAAGACAATGTGAATCTGGGAGTTCATATCTGTGGGAAGGTAAACAAATATCATTATAAATTGTCCGAACTTTTGACTAGTATAAGATAATGTATATGATGCCTACAAGAACTTCATGCCAAATATTGGATCTTATGTTGGATAAAATTATTATCTATTTCCCCGGGGTGTAATCTCTATCTTTGCCTGATTCAAAGTTAATGTAATGCCAATCATGTATTACTTTTTACAGCTTTTGTATTTGTAGTATCTGTTACTTTCGGTGCCCCACATTTCATTAATTAGATTACTACTTTTCAATGTTAAAGTTGAGCATTCCAATTAACTAGTTGGAGATGAGTTAGGTTTTTTTACTTACACAGAATGCTCTGTGCGCAACCGGCTCACGTTCTTCAGCCTCGGTGTAGGAATGTAAGCAGCTTCTTGATTTAGAGCAACCAAGGCCTTTGACATTTCACCTTCTTGAAGTTCCATGTTTGTTTGCATATAATTTTGTAAATTCACAGTGAACTCTTCTAGGTCTAGTTTGATGGTTGGAATTTCATCGGAGTCCTCATAGAAAGCATCCTCTATATCATTATCGGATACATGGGAGCATTCTGGCTCTGGAGATGCTGGCTCTTCAATAATGGGTTGGCAGATGTTGATTTCAGAGTTTGTTTCATGTTGCCTGATCGCAACTGTTTGTATAAGTTCTTCTGCTTGGTTTGTGTTTTCAGGGAGAGACAAGGGCAACTGATTGATGATTACTGATGGGTTCTGATCAGTCGTATTGTTTCCAGTTGTCATATCTATATTCTTCTGACCCGATTCTGGGAGAGGCAAGGGAAACTGCTCGATGATTACTGATGGGTTCTGATCAGTTGTATTGTTTCTAGTTGTCATATCTATATTCCTCTGCTCCGGTTCTGGGAGAGACAAGGGCGAATGATTGATGATTACTGATGGGTTCTGATCAGTTGCATTGTTTCCAGTTGCAATAACTAAATTCTTCTGCTCCGGTCCTGGGAGGGCAAGCCTTGCACTGCATTTAACATTTGTTCATTTATATATTGATATATCATAACTTGGAGTACATGCAGATTATTGAATTTTCAAAGTTGCATTGACATAATCTTCATCTGTTAAAACTTTGTTTCCTAAGTTCACTGTTGCGGCAAGAATAATGCAATTAGAATCATGTATAAAACATAACAGTAATTTAGTAAGGGTAATTTAGTAAGGGACATATGAACTTCATAAAATCATCTCCCAAGTTTTCTATTCTTCTGACAGAAATATTTGCAGTACTTCTAATGTAAGTAAAAACAAGTAATGGAATGGTTATTTTTTATTGTAAGCATGATGTGTGCAAATAATCTTTTCAGAGAAATACCTTGCAAAAGCACTTGCGAAGTGTCTGCATTCCCCTCTCATTGGACATGCATTACAGTTTGGTTTGCTTTTTGTACAGAAGACCTGCATGCATTGGTTTTAGTTTAAACTATAGGTTTTAGTAAAGTATGGCTAGTTTCTGATGTATGAGAAAACGTAGTTTACCTTTCCAAATGTAATCAGCTGGTAATGTAGCTCATACCTTAAATAAAACATGAAAAAAGAAAATCAATAGATAAAGAGTTTGATTTTTGATCCACTATAAAGGAAAACTTGTAAACCCTATCAAGCAATCATGTATTGCCACATGACTGAGTTGTTATCATTATGTCAAAGAAACAGTTATTGTTACCATAAAATCAAACTTTTTGAACAATGTGGCAGTGCATGACTGTACGTATTGTTTAGAAGTTATGTTTAGGCAACTAGAAGAAAAAGAAACTTGTATATTTTAACAGTAAGCTGAAAAGAAATCTTACAATGTTCTTTGATCAAGCTTGCACAGCCGTGGCCAGAGATATTTTTGTATGGATTCCAACACAGGGTACCTGTACAGGTCGGTATTGTTAGCTCTTTTCTAATTGAACGACTGCATTACATGATCTATTTCTGTAGTGCTTACAATTCTAGAAGATGCAACTGTAGTGACTCCGGCAGTGGCTGGAGAGGTACCCATCCCAATCGCACTGCAATTCGCCCAACATTTGTGTCCACCTATTGCACAACAACAATAGCTGTTCAAATATATTCCATATTAATGTAATCATGCATTTTTATTTTCAGCTTACCGGGAAAGCAAGATGGTGCAGTGTTAACAGTCGCACACACTCCACACTTTTCAATCCCAATCCCCTTATGCTGAGCAAGAATTCTCTGCATATATAAATTGAATTAGCATTCTGCATTTTTTCCTGCTTGGGTGTAGTAGCCTAATAGGTCTAACTAGATGAATATGCATCGATTAAACATTCGTGTTTGTAAGAACTCAAAATGTTGGTTTCATCAACTAAATAATCAGGACAAGCTAACATGATATGCATGGGAAGTACAATTTGAATAAAAAACTACAATTAATCTCTGGACTTACTTTGCTTGGTCAGGTGGAACATCTCTCAACCATTCGAGATCTATACCCCCGTGTTTATCAACGAGTAGATTCAGGAAACTCTGCATAATATATCAGTAGACATAAGCACTTAGCAGTGTTGAAGGGTTTTCTCTTTCCAGCAAAATATATAAAAATAATATTTCATGGATATTAGATTATACCTGAATACGTTCAGCAAGCATGTTGTTCATGCCCCGTTCTTTAATCGCATCAGCAATTTCATTGACGTTTGCTCGCCTCACGGCCTCCCAGTCCAAAGAGTCCTTGGTGCTTTCTGTCTTTTCTCTTTCCCCTGCTGTAGCTAGTGCCTGTACTCTTAAACTATCCCAATTGAAGCTATCCTTTTTCTCTTTCTTGCCTTTTGATTTTACAGGAGCAGAATCTAACTTACTGTTTTCATTCGTAATGGCATAGCTGTGGTCACAAGAATCTGATTCCTTTGATTTCGGCATAAGATCTTGACTTTGTCCAGAAATGTGGAAAGCCTCGTGCTGCTTGTCATCACTATGCTGCTGAAGATGGGCTTGGGATAGCATGCTGTGAGACTCTGCTGGAGAACTCAAGCTTATGTTATCTTCATTTTTATTCTTTGAGGAGCCACTTGACGAGGCTTCGACATTGATGGGATTAAAGCAATTGACTTCAAGGACTCCAGAGTTGGGGGTCATTTTCAAATTATAGTCATTGCCCTGTGCCGTGATTGCTTCTAAGTAGCTTTGAGTGGTATTTGATTTTTCCAAGTTCTCCTCCAGGTTGTCATGCCTCATAGCTACAGGCTGACCATATGAATCTCTCAAATTCTCAGTTAGATTGTTTCTCTGACTGTTAACTTCATGTAACTGCGTCGAACTTGCCAATCCTAAAAGGTTACTGAAAGAAGTCCTGTTGGAAACATTGTATTCGGCTGTGCTTAGCCGATCTTCTACTTCTGTGTTGCTGTCTGAGACTGATCCTATCTTCTCAGGATTTTGATCAATGGAAAAATCTCCAGACAATTGAGATGTAACAATGGAGCAATGGGATGAAAATAAAACATTTAACTCTTTCCTAACACCCCCATTACATGAATTTTCTTGCCCTTCCCCAGTTACAGGACTAACAAATTCCACTGTACTATGTTCGCTAATATTTCTTTGAGCAGGTTCCGACATCTTACAATTTGATTCATCTTTTAAGCTGCCAGTAGTTCCACAGGAATCAATGCTGTTGCTGTCAACAGTTTCTCTTTCTTCAGGATGTTCAATGATGTCTTTTGTCATACAACTCAATTCATGAACAGATTGATTCAATATTTCTTCCAGCTTTGCATTTTCTTCTGGTTCCACAATCTGCACCTCTGGTGAGTTGACTATCATGCTTGCACTTTCATCATGGCATGTATCGTACTTGCTGCTTGGCTTTACAGCAAATCGAGCAGCAAGGGACATGAACGCAGAACTGTCAAACAGAAAAAAAAGAGAAAGTGGTGTATCATGTATTTTAATTGCATGTTTCATTCTCGTTAATTGAGCTTGAATAATTTATACCTGGAAAGATGGTCTGAGACATTTTGAGTAAGGAAAACTCCAACTACTGAATCCACCACTGATCCTTTCCAACGGGAAAAGCGCCTGTCTCCTGTTGAATATGCACTTTTTTTGTTAATATGCTAACCATGTGGGACTCTTAACATTTTTTTAAGAGTTAAGTTACAATTCAATAGCTAGTTTGTTTAAATAGAGAAAGAATTTTGACCTACCGAGTTTTGCTTAACCGGCCCTTACATTAAGATAAAAACTAATTAAAAAAACTAACAATAAAACTAACTCGATATATTATTTACAAAAGGTATTGAAATCTGAGAAAATAGAAGTGATAAATGTTGTTATTCTTGAAAGTATATCGCTCATAAGTCATACCTTGTACAAGATGCATCCGTGCAATAAATGACTCTGCTCGTCCTCGAAAAACATTTCGCTCATTTTCCCACCATTTGGCCTTGTCTTCATCTGTTCCATCAACCCCATGACTGTTTATATCCAACATCAGAAGCTTCCACACTTTATTAGTTTCCTCATCGAGATCAACTTTAGGTCTTGGGCGTTGTTTCTTGATGGGATCAAACACGCCTTCGTAGGGAATCATGGTGCCATATTCATGAACCCGCCGGCCTTTGCGTTTTTCAGTTTTCTGCTTGTAAGAGACAAGTGCATTCTGGTCATACAACACAAGCTCTCTAGCTTCTCTATATATGTTTAGCTGGCTAAACTGCTGTGTTAATGTGTCCACCGTATATATGCTTTTCCAGCTCTCTCCGCGAGCAACACCTGCATCAATCAGTGTCTTAATCAGGACAAACTGTTTGGTAGAAATGCTAGTTCAAAACATAATATTATTAACCAAAGAAAATCAAAGTTTCAGTTGAAAATACCTAATGAGCTATGCGAGGGAAGATGCTGTTGCATTTCATCTCTGCTATAATATGCAGAACTGATTGAAACACTTCTCTTTTTACTCCGTTTCTTTTTTGTGAGTGATGCACGCATCTCTGCGACTAGAGCATCAATGCCTGTTTGTGGTCTTTGTGCATCCTCAAATGTTTTTCTACCAGTACTGCTTTGGTTTGCAATATTAGTAAGTTTGGCGTCACAGTTTCTGACTATGGTCAGTGAAGTATAATCATGAGCTCTGTTAGTGACTCTTGATCTTTTTTTGGTTGGTGTGCTCTGTCCTGAAAATAAATTGTACTCGAGCGATTGCGATTGCGATTTATCACAGGTAGCACTTTCTGTAGCTCTGAGCATGGTTAGGAGCTTCGCTGTTTCATATTCAGAAGCAGAAGCAGAAGTCCAGCCATTAGAAGTTGAGGCACCTTGATGTGATCTAGCATTTTCTTCAGAGCATGTTGCTAGTTGTACATCTTTTGTAGCAGTTACGAAAGATGTATTTGATGTGTTAGAAAATTTCCCCTTTTCACTTCTCCTTTTCTTCTGAACATTTGGAAACTGAACCCAATACTTCGACTGGTATGCCTGCAATAAGTTGTATTGCGCCCCAATTAGGTTAATGCTGCTGTTGTCTGCCTGCTTAATGGCACCGGATGGTTTTCTCTTGGAACCCACTCCTTGTGATCCGGTACTCGAAAATTTTCCGTTACTGGTGGAGGCTTGTGCATCTTCTATTGATGACATGTAATTATTTAGAGCTTGTGTTACCTGGTCCTCTATGCCACTTTCTCCACCAAAACGCATAGTTGCATTTTCCTCTCCGCATGCAAAGTTTCCATCTCTTTGTTGTTCTGGTATCTCAAAGTATAAGGACCTTCTACACGTCTTTTTGGCAGACTCAGGTATTAATTGTTCATTGCATTCCCCTGGCACTTCTGCTGCAGTAGTGTTTGGATCTTTCTTTCTCACATACTTCCTCTTTTGAGTTGAGTTTTCTTTTGATTGATCAGGCTTTGGAGTGGCTGGCTTCCTGGGTTTTTTCGCTTTTCCTTCTTTTATGACCTTGGGACGGTGCTTTCTTCTTTTCGGTTTTGTTTGGGGTATTTCATTAAGATCAATAACATGGTGTATTTCCTTATTGCGGTTATTATCCTCCTTGCATGGTGTAGGAATAGCAGTCAAGTCTACAACAGCAGGATCATAGAGTTTGTTGTGTGATTTATCGCACATTGTGGCAGAGGCATTATCCCCGTCTTCCCTTTGATCCAGCTGTTCCATACAAATCTGTGTCTCCACAACTTGCTTGTCTTTTGCTGCGACGACATTTTCTGGAGGCAGGGCAATCTGAGAATTGGTCTGACCATAGTAAGCCATGTATGATGTGCCTGTTGCAGGACATTATGTAAATGCCAGAGTTAGAACCACATGGTCCCACATCAATCACATATTATAATCATGGTTTCAAGGTTAATCAAAATCTGGAAATTTGAAAGTATAATCATGTAAAAAAATAAAACTGACTATTAAACCGGTTGAACCGTGAACCATGACTGGGTCTATGGTTTGATTATTTAGTGGTTCAACTACAATTTTATCTCGGTTCACGCAGTGCAACCATGACCTGGAGATCTCATTAGTTTGATGTCTGGTTCAGTTTTTTAAAACCAATTGCAGTTGCTCTGTGGCATTGTCTAACTCTGGCATTTATTCATGCCACATAGCAACTGAAATTGAATTTAGGATTTTACTCCAAAACACGAGTAACGGTTCAAAATTAACTGTCAAAACTCTGGGAATCTAAACCTAAATCCGGGAACCAAAACCAAAATTTAATGCCTTAACCTTGAGGATCTTGGTAATTGTCAGGAATGAAACTGGTATAGGGCTGTTGCTGATACAGATTGTGATGACCAAGCAATGCATAGCTCTGGTCGAACTGCGAGTTCCACACACCAGGAACAAACTGGTTCTCCAAAAAACTATATCTTGAATTAGCATAAGCTGAAGGAGCCCCTGCCTGAGCCAAAAGCTCAGCAAAACTGTTACTCGGACCAGGAACATCGTCGAATGAGACCTGTACCCGAGTTCTCGCATTGTCATGACCAATGTTTGATGTTCCAGCCACAGATTCCACAAATTCTGACCTCTTGTTAACATCTCCACCTGCAAAGGATTCCAAAGATACGAATTCCCCATTGAAATGAGAATTCAGCTGATTTCTCTCTCCAGTATTGCAGATCTGCACTGGTCTTTGAGCAATGGGCTTAAAAGGTGTGGTGGGTGTCCATGGAACCTCAGAATTAACCTTCTTTTTCTCTGTCTCACCAAACTCCATTTTTTTCCTGCATAAAAAAACCTTAATTGAAACCAGTTCAGAAGAACTGAAAATTAAAACACAATAACCGACAAGAACTTATGAAAGAAACATCATTAAAAAAACATCAATAAACATAGATCCGGTTTGTTAATTACCTTAATAAAAGTAACCGGTGAGTGACAGAGTTGTTGTTAGAGAAGCAGAATTCAGGAATTTATGAACATTAAATTAAATTAAATTTTAAAAAAAAAAATTGAGAAACATTTCACATGTGAGAAAGAAAGAAAAAGTAGGTAATTTGCTTGAAAATTCCGCTTTATGCTCGAGGTGAATAGAAACTTATTCTATATGACCAAAAACCAAAACTCGGAGAAATTTATGCAGATGTTGTTACAATGACTCACTGCTCATGAGATCTGGCAACCTTTATATAAATCTGGGAAAATTTAGTCAAAAATAATTAAATAAAAAAGCATTTCACCACCGAATGAGTGAGGTGATAAAAGGAAAAAGGTAGCAAATGGCACAAAAATTTATGCATAAGTTTATCCTTAGCTTAATTTAATTTACTCTTATCGTGATTCTGGTCAAGAAATCAATTAAATACTCGATTAACATATATTTTTACTTTTGTCTCCATTCGGTTGTTTGCCGTTGATAGACTAATTACTTACGACTATACATACTGACACGAGATAAGATGCTATGAAACGTGATATTTGTAGTATTTGTTATGCGTGCGCATATACATTTATTTTCTCACGTGTTGTACAACGTTTATATATTAAACGTTGACTTCTAACATGCTACGTAAATTATTAACGAATCATATTATAATGATTCGTTAATAATAAAAACGATATAGATTTATTATTAAAAAATTATATATTATATAATATTGTTAAGCGATTATAGGAATGTTTGGTAAATATTTCGTTGGAAGTTAACGTTTGTTAACAAAAAAAATTGTTTTTCTTATGTAAGGTGGTAATATTTGGATTTGGAAAAGGTTTTTAAAACTATTAGTAAAAATATTGAAAAATAATATTTTTTATATAAATTTATAGGAGCTCTCGTCTAATTTAAAATTTGTTATACTAAAAATTTTAGAAGTCTTTAAGATAATTAATTTTTATTGATAAAAATGTTTTTTGTAATTATATATTACTGACTATGTAAATAAGTGTAACTTAATTATTTAGTCATTTAATCATATAATATTATATATTATATATTATTTTTAAAAAAAATTAATTAGTATGCATGGATAATATAAAGATATTTCACATTTTCAATTAATCAGTTAAATTTTTATGTGTTTGATCTATAAATAATTGTGAAACATTTTTAATTATTAAGATAAATAGATGAAAAGGAAAATAATAAAAAATAAAATTTTAGTGATAAGTTTCATTATATACTTTTATAAAAAAACTTTACTATTAAAAGATTTAAGCAATAAAAATTAGTAGTTTTCTTATTCATGAAAATGCCTAGGCAATAAAATTATAGTTTATTTTATCTAAAATATTTATTGATAGTAAAAAATATTATATAAGTGACATGAATTTTAAAGTTTATTTCATATTTTTGTCGGTGAATGAAGAAATAAAGAAAAAGTAATAATATTTTTCTTTATGTCCATATTATAATTCTTTTTTTTTTTTGAGTTTTTCTTTGTCGTTGTGTGATGAAACGGTAAAGAAAAGTTGTGTTGTATATTTCTAACTATGTAATTCTTTTTTGTGTTTCTTTATTTGTTATTGCGTGAAGAAATAAAAAGAATAGTTGTGTTATACTTTCTGATTACGCCACCCTTCTTTTTACGCGTTTCTTTATTTGTCGGTGGATAAAGAAATAGGGAAAGAAATCTTTATTTTACTTTTTGACCGCGTCATTCTTCACTTTATGAATTTTTTTTGTCGTTGTCTGAAGAAACACTTTTTGACCGTGTCACTCTTCTCTTTATGAGTTTTCTTTTTGTTATTGTCTAAAGAAACACTTTTGATGGCGTCACTTTTCTCTTTATGAGTTTTTTGTATCGTTGCGTGAAGAAATGAAGAAAAAACTATATTTTTTGTCCACATCACTCTTCTTTTATGTTTTACTTTCATTGTCGTCGTGGAAAGAAATAGGGAATACATTTTTTTTTCATTCTAATCATATCATTTTTTATTAGTAACTAATATTTTTTTATCGTAACCTTAATCCTTCTTGTTTTATATAATCACTAATTTTTTATTTATTATAATCACTAATTTTTTTTTAATCTAGCTTAGTCTTTTGTTTATTTACCATTACTATATTTATTCTATACGATAAAATTTTACACTTATATTATTAATGATGTAGCATCCACACCATGAATGACTCATTTTATGTATATTGTTTGACCCGTATAAATCTTAAATCATAATTCACATCCTGTGATGTCGATCATCTTGTGCAATGAAACCCATTCAGATGGTTCACATGAAGCCCATGACCACATGCAACAATGGTTAATGAAATACGACAAGATATACATCGTCATCAAGATAAGGAGAAAAAGTTTGTGATGTTAAAATATAATCTCATTGTCATTAACCAGTATGTCTTTTAGAACTAACTTACAATTATAATTAAACTCATTTGTTATCTCCGATATTTAGTTGAATGATCAAATTTATTAACTCCCATGTTCCTCTTTTGCCTCCTATATTGTAACGCATGTGGCGTCTCTACTAAAATTTCCTGTAGAGTGATCATCTGTGGAGTGCCTTCTTGGAACTCGCCCCTAGTTATGATCTATCTCCTAATAGCAACAATACAGTGACATATAAGCATTACATCCACGACATGGTCCATCCTCCCGTATTCCTCTTCTAATATCTCTTGATGAGCTGACCTATATGGATATTCTTTTGCATTTTGTGTCATGTAAGGATGATACACTTTATAAAACCATTGGATGTAACCATATACCATGGACGAGGAGTTGACGCACTATGTACAACCTTTGACACAAGATTCTCATTGTAGTCTACAAATATCCTATTAACATTTCTGTAGAGGACAGTGGCAGGAGCAACAGTAGTTTACTCTCCTGATTATCTCTGAGTGGGAAAATAGAGCAGGCGTGTGGCGATTCTTCAAAGTAGTCTTCAACATATTCCCACTTGGAGAGACGTGGAAAATGCAGGTGGATCCATGCCTTAAAATGGTTCAAATGAAATGCCAATAATAGTCTAACATATGTATTATGAAATTAATATCAGTAAGGGTGAAAATTACCATAAATAGACAATTGTTTGCTGTCAAACGTATCATATTCCATTGACTACCTTAAGATAACTTGAAGTAAAGGTACACCAAATAAGATGCCTCCAGTTGTACCCGTGAATATGCTTTAAGTCAATGAAGTATCTAATGTAGGCAATGTCGACATAGGTCACATACTTTTGTCCATAAAAATGGTCATGTTAACCAAGACAATGAAGTATAACCTTAAAACACATACTCTATGACATGCAACTCATGCATCATCATCCGTAAATTTTACATTTATCGTATCCATAAAGACCATGAAGTAAATAACAGAAAAATAAATGACACATAGTAGAGTATTCAAAGACCATTCAAAGATTTTAAGATCTCAAGTAGAGTATGGTTATATATTTTTTGTGTTACGTGAAGTAAATAACGGAAAAATAAATGACACATAGTAAAATGTGTGGATGCATTTCTCTTTTAGATATTTTGTATGACGTCAAAACTAGGAATTGATTTAGCTTTTATGTACATTGAATGTATCTTTGAGTATTTATGTGCACCCTTGCATTAGAAGTCATTAGGAACCTTAAGAAGCATATAGAACCAGTTTGGTTTAGATATCCATTAATCTCATAAAAGAAAAACAAGTTTTTGCACAAAATTCATGTCTATGTGTCGACACATTAATGCTTTGTTTCGACACACGTGTTGTTGTTTTGAGCAAATCTATGATATAAGAAAATTATATGCTCTAGAAAACACAATAATAATCTCTCCTCTTTTCCCTCCGCCTCACCAATTAAGGGTCATTTTGTGTCCAAAAATTACTTTTTGCAACCAAATTGTACTTTTGGTTATATGGCAAACATAGTTACTATGAATTGTGTACAAATATGAAACCGGTTGGATATTGTTCCTTGAAGTACAACCGTTTGGTTCCAAAATAAGTACTATTATAATTTCAAAATACACTATTTGGTTAACAGATGACACCCTTCCCCAACACTCACTTTTTTTGAACAAACCTCACTTCTCTCTCATCTCAACCTTCACACGCAAACATCACTTATCTCTCATCTCAACTCACCTATCTTCTTCACATTGTTCATACTTCAAAATAACCTTCACTTTCCCTCATCTTCCACCGTCACGATTTGATTTTCCGACGACCTTCATACGCTTTCAACGCAGTTGCAGTGTCGTTCAACTTAAAATGGCAAGACCTTATGAAAATGTCAAAGACATTAATAAAAGCAAGGAGCTTTGGAAAATAGTTGTTCGTGTTCATCACAAATGGAGTGTTGTATCAAGGAATAAGGAACACTTTGAAATGATTCTGGTTGATAAATAAGTAAGCATGATCTGGTTTCCATTTATTATATGCAAGGGTATTCTTTTTTCAGGGTTTACATGAACTGTTATCCATTTATCTTATGTATTGTATCCTGGTTTGTTCTGCTGTTAACTATAGGACTTATGTTGTGTTTTAAAAAACATTTTCGGTATTATGATAGATCTTTGCTTTTAAGATGCACGTATGGTTTTGTGAAATTATTTTTATTTTATATTATACATGTTGCTATTCTCATAAATAGATTTTGAATATTAAATATTTTTCATTACTTCCGAAACTTTTATCAAATATGTTAATGTACCTGATACATATGTATTGTATTTCAGGGTTCTGATATACACTACAAAGTTCCAGCTGTGTTGAAGTAGGCATATGATTTTGTCTTAACCATGGATAAGACTTATACCATAGC